GAGAGTGGGAGGGAGGGTGGGGGGGCCTCGCTGGAAGTGGAGGGCCCTGGAGCCAGGGTCCTGGCCGAAGCAGAGGCCTGCGCTCAAATGCGGACCAGGGGCAGTTAGAGAATTAGAGTGGGGGCTGGGGCTCAGCCTCTCCCCAGCACCTCTTGCCCCACCCAGTGTACCCCGTCACCTGTCCACCCCGAGACAGGTCCTCCTTTCCTACCTCTGTCCCTGGGGAACCCCCCTGGGGCTGACCTGGTAGGCGAGCGCCAATCTCAATGCAAACTCTTGGACGCAAATAAGTACAGGCAGCAGGGTGCCTTCCTCGTGGTGAGATCCAAGGGGCCGGCCTGGAGCCTGCAGGCTCTAGGGCCAGGAAGACCCTGGGTGCTTCCCGCCTCGCCAGAGACCCAGCTGGGGACAGAGGTTGAAAAACTGCCTTCTAGGCTACCCTAACTGCGTCATCGTTCACCCCAAAACTGGGCTGAGCAGAACCAACTCTCCAACACCCAGATGGAGGCCCTGGCTCTAGACAGGCCCTATATATGCAGGGCCTGTTCTGCTGGGACCTTTAGGAGTGGGGGGCTTCCTTTGTCCATGGGGGAACAGGGCCCTACAGTTCACAATCACCACCCCCAAAAAAAGGAGATTCTGTTCAATCAGCTTGATATGGATGGACACTTAGCTGGTTATGTGCCTAAAGCTTCTAAATGATTATTGTCCCAAGCCAATTCTCTAAACAACCTCTGTTTTCACGGCCTTCCTACTCTCACAGAAACAAAACAAAAAAAAAAACAACAACGTTGAATCTTAGCTGGCTATCCCCCAAACGAACACAAATAACTTTCTTTAGAGAAGCCAGTCCATTCCAAAGTACTCCCAGACATTGGTGCATAATAAACACGAAGAGGATTTCTTGGTGTGGTGGCTTGTTTGGAATGTCTGGTGATACACAGCTGTGTGCTGTCGACTCTGGGTTTGACGTCTGTGCGGGGCTAAGTGGTGCCCCCAGAAAAGAAGGTTGTGTTTCGGTTGTTTGGTGATAACATTTGTGATGGTCCCTTATCACAGAGTATTGAGATGAAAAAAAAGTTATGCGTAGCTGAGGCAAAATATAAAAATAAAAAAGAAAGCACCATTGAATTACATTGACTCTATGACCTGTTTCCTCATCTATAAAATGGGAACGCGAATTCCCCCTTCACAGGTGTGGTAAGGATCAGTTGTGATGATATCTGAAAGTGCTTTTTAAACCAGGGAACACAGAGCACCATGCAAATAACAGGTGTCTCTTGCTTTCTTTTTAACCCCAGAAAACCACAGATTCCCAAGGGTTCTCTGCTGTGTGTCAGATTCTGAGCCATGTGTCAAATTCTGACCCAGAGAAGGAAGCAAAAGTGTTCTGTTCTGCACATTGCATAGCTGTCATTCAACATTTACCAGAGATCCCACCAAAAACATTCTGACAAAACTGACATCACTCGATTTCTGAGCTGACACATAAATAGGTTGAATAATTCACCTGGAATCACACAGTAAACTGGCAGCAATATTGGGATTATAAATCAGCCCTTTTCTCTGGCCTAGAATGTTCTGAACCACAGTCTTTCTCCAAGTGCAAAGACCATCTAGAAACCATAAAGTGCATAGAAGTGGATCACAAGCTTTAGGGTGTTTTCCCGTTAATTTTTCATAAGCAATTTCTCCTCCTTCAAAATCTTGTCCTGTTTTTGTTAATTCATTGTGTGCCTGTCTCATTTCCCCAGCTTAGTGCTCTTGCCAGGTGTTTCTGATGACTGTGCTAACCACAATAAATGGTGAAAGATGCCAAGAAAACTCCCTACGTCCCCTTAGGAACAGCCTTATCCAGCAGCACCCCATGAAAGACCTCAAAGACTTGAAGGGGACTAGCAGGAGGTAATGATGGTGGCAGTACTTGGAACTATTTTTTACTCTAGATTCTCTATGTTAGTCTCTTCCATCTCCAGCTCCTAGACCAATGTCCTCTACATTTCTGAGCTGACATAGTAGATGCTCAGTATCTGAAGAATAAATACCAACGAATCATGGACTCAGAGAATCAGAAGAGCTGAATATAGGACTTTGCCTATGAAACTTTTCTATGTCCTAATTCCAGAGAGGTTCACACATAAAGGAGCTCAGCAAATGTTTGTAGATTGAAAGAAACGTTTCAAGCAAAGAAGGGTGGAAAGCCTGCACCTTTAAAAAAGCAAAGGCATGTCTCCCTTCTTAGCTACATGGTTTAGACCACCAACTTGTCATCAACCAGCCCTAACATCACTCCTAGTTTGGGAGTTTAACTATAAAGACCTTGAGCAAGTTACTTAACCCCTTTGAGCCTCAAGAGGGATTACAAAATATTACTACTGGTTGATACCTACCTCAAAGGCTTATGGTAAAAAAAAAAAAAAAAA